TGTTACCTATGTTCTGCTGTTCCTCTTCCCTTGAGACATCCCACACTCAATGGCCCCTTTCTAGCTTTCTGACTCCTATAGTTATTTCAAATAAAAAACACATAAAATAAGCATTTGAAGCTGAGATCTACGTCTGAGAGAGAACATGCAGCATGTGTCTTTCTGAGCCCAAGTTAACTCTCTAAGTATAATTTTGCCTGGTTTCATTCACTTACCTGCAAATTTTGTTTTTCTTTACAGCTAAATAAAATTCCATTGTGTGTATGTGCTACATTTTCATTTATCTGTTCATCATTCGGTGGATACTTAGGCTAATTCCATTTCTCAGCTATTTCAAGTAGACACCAGTGAATATCAGTGAGCATGTATCTTTGGGTCATTTGGTAGATCTATTTCTAGCTTTGTGAGGAACTTCTACATTGGTTTCCATTGCCTCCATCAGTTTACACTCCCACCAATAGTGAATAAGGGTTACTGTTTACCCACCTATCCCTGCCAGCATTGGTTGATATTTGATTTCCCAGTGACAGCCATTCTGAGGATAAGGTAGAATTACAAAGTAATTTTAATTTATGATTTTCTTGATGGCTAATGATATTGAAAACTTGTAAAAAAAAAAAAAGTTCAGTTGCATTTTTCCTTCAGAGAATTCTCTGTTTATATCTACGGACCGCTTTTTGTGGTGTTTTTTTTTTTTCTTGATGTATTTCTTTATGTATTCTTGATATTAGTCCTCAGTTGGAGGTATAGCTAGTAAAGATTTTTATCCCATTCTGTGGGCTTTCTCTTTATCTATTGATGAGTTCCTTTGTTGTACATAAGAGTTTTAGTTTTGTTAGTTCCCATTTGTTTTTAGTTGGTCTTATTTCCTGAACTGCTGGCATCTTATTAGAAATTCTTTGCCTGTTGAATTTAATGTCCTCTTGATGGATTGATTCCTTGATCAATAGGAAGTGACTATCTTTATCTCTTATGAGTAGTTTTGCTTTGAAATCTACTTTTTAGATATGAGAATAGCAACACTTGTTTGCTTTCTGGCTCCATTTGCTTTGCATACCTTTGTCCATCCTTTACCCAAAGGTAGTATCTATCTTTGATGGTGAAGCATGTTTCTTGGAAGGAAGAAAATGATGAATCCTGCTTTCTGGCCCAGTGATAATCTGTGTCTTTTGGTTGGGGGAGTTGAGACCACTGATATTTAAAGATGTTATAGAAAGATGTATGTTTACTCTTACCATTTGTTGATTTTTTAGCGCCCATTTTCTTGGTCTCTCTTTGCTTAGCCTCTGAGTTAACATTGTTTATTTTCTCCCTGTGGTCTCTTCTGTATTGCTATCCTTTTCTTCAGCTTGGAATATTCCATCCAGTATCTTCTGTAGGTTTGGCTGGGTAATCACATATTCCTTTAGGTTGTGTTTATCTGGGAATGTTTTTCTTTCTATTTCACTTATGACTGATAGTTCTGCTGGGTATAGTAATCTGTGTTGGCATCTCTGCTCCTTCACAACAAGAAGCACATCGCTCCTGCTTTTCTGGCTTCATCAAATGCTATTCTAATAAGACCTTCTTTGTATCAGATTCAATCCTTCTCTCTTGCAGCTTCAAACATTTCTTTGTTGTGACATATGGCATGGGGGAATCTCTCCTCTGATTTTGTCTATTTGGTGTTTGGTCTGCCTGTGTATTTGAATGGGCATCTCTTTCTTTAGATTTGGGTAATTTTCCATGATTTTAGTGGAAATATTTTATGTGCCTTTGACCAGAATTTATTCTTCTTGCTCTATGTCCATATTTGTAGGTTTTTTCATAGTGTCTCAAAGATCCTACATGTTCCATTTGTGTGATTTTGATTTATTGTTTTATTAGACTGACTGATCCAATTCCTCTATCTGTCTTTAAGCCCGGATAGTTCATTTTCTACTTCAACCTCTCCACTGCTAGAGTTTTTCACTGAACTTTTTATCTCAAGTTTTATTCTGGTTTGTATTTTCTTTAGTATTTCAATCTCTTTATTGAAATTTATTTTCATACCCTGAACTGTCATCTTTGTTTAATATGTTTTCTTAATCTTCATCCTGGCCTTTTTTTCATGTTCTCTTTGAGTTCCTTGAGCATATGGAGATGCTCTTCTAAATTCATTGTCTTCAATGTCCTTCCAGTTGCTTTCATTGGTGATCATTACTATGGGGTAAAAGATTCTGGAGATGTATTGTCTTGGTTTTTTTACTTTGTTGTTTTTTTTATTAGAGGACCTGGGCAGAGTTAAGTTGTTGGTCATATGATCTGGCCCACCTTTGTGGAGTGGGCATCTGGTTCGCTGCTTACTGTTATGCTGGTTTGACAAATTTTGTATCAGCTAATGCCTGAAGTTCAGGCCACTCAATGCTGATTTGTGAGTCAGGCAGAAGAGGCATTTGTAGCTTAGCTAAGGAAACCTGTAGCTTCTGGCCTCACCAGCAGATACTCTAGAGACCAAGCAGGCTCTCCTTGCAATTCCTCAGAGACTGAGGTTAGAGTGCTGAAGAGGAGAGGTAGAGGGCTCCCAGTGGGCATTCAGCTACTCAGCATACTCAGATGCTGGCACTGTGGTCTCAGA